ACGCTGTTCCGGCGACGCACGCCCTCGAAATTTAGCGGAACATGGTTCCGGAACACAAAACCTCAACCTCGCATGTTTCCCGCGGTCGTCGGCGCCCCTTTATTGGCGATCCTTTAAGTTCGGCGCGAGCCCGTACTTCCCGAACTGGGGTGCCCCTTCAAACTCGGCCATCTTCCCCGCGCGCGCAGCTCCTGAAAAAAATTGGTGATTGACAGTGCTAGGGAGAGGGGCAAGCCGCAAACTCAGCTTCGTTGGGTTTCCCGTGTCCACATGCATTCCTCCAGGGCCTGGGGTATTGCATCCGGGATATTGCACCCGGGGTATTGCGTCCGGGATGAGCGCCTGGAGGCTGACAGCGGAGGCTGACGACGACCCTACTTCAACATAGGGCTGTATGTTCAATATGAACTTCAATATGGGACTGGGGCTGGCTTTGTTTCGGCCACTCTTTTGCTCCAGGTCGCTGAAATAGAGCAAAGCCTCATGCGGGTGCATTCACTAATCAAATTTGGTTGATCCGTATTACGAAACGACGATTAAGTCTGTCGGGAGGAAGCAACATAATGAACATGGCTGACTTAACTTCACATTCTTCCCAGATACTGCTATGGACATGTTCGACGCGTCCGTTTTGGGCGACCGAACCTCTCGATTTAAGTGGTTTTGCCTTACAAATAAAGACAAAATCGAGTCGTTTGATGTATGGAAGAACGGATGGAAAGTTTTGCGTATTTAAACTTGGTGCAATGGAGTTCCATATTGTAGAATAAGGGGACTAGGGCTACTTTGCGAACGAGTGGGGGACCTGCTACACCAGGTCTAGGAAGACTCTCCGTCTATCAAAGCTAAGTCCCAGCGGGAAGTCCTGGTAAAATAAAAGCAGCAACCCGCTTTTGCAATGTTTTTGCCACCGCTTCTAGAAGCGCCGTCACCCATACAGCCCCAGTTGCCCGTTATCTTGCTCAATGCAATGGCGCCCTCACCGGTGGTCCCTAAGAGGGGCCTGTACTCACCTCGAGGTTTGGTAGAGGAATCTCTTCGAGATAAAACCCTGGCACATGTGAATCTCCAGATTCTACGACAACGGAGAAGCGAAGTTCGCATGAGAATAGCGTCGTTACAATGCCAATTGTGGGATGAGTACGAAAGACGACGTAGCATGAACCAGTCGACTTAAAGGGGAGATTCTCAAGGGGCACATCAGAATCGTGCACATAGAGATCGGCATCACTAAGGGACTCGACATGGATACGAACGTTTTGCATTTGTTGGCCTTTTGCATTGTTTGTTATGTGAAACTGCAGAACTAAAGACGAATCAAAAATGTGACGGATACAGGCGACATGATAGGATTCAGTGCCCTCGGCTTGTGCACTCAAGACAACAGGCGCGAGGGAAGAGATGACGCGCCCAAGGCGTGTGAGCTCAGGAACAGCAGACACTTTTGACTGTTGTTTGATTTGTTCTTGCGTGAGTTCATATTTAAGATTCACAAACTCGACTCTTAGCAGATTATGCTCGACAAGAGCAGCGCGGCGTTCGGACTCCGATGAACGGACCAAAAGCTTCAGAAAGTCAACACAGAGATGCAGAGACACGTCGTTAGGAAGCGCATCTAAAGCGTCGACGGGGTCAGTCTTATTGATATGACGATGCAAGAGGTCAAGCGCCTTGATAAAGGTTGTCTTTCTTGGTGCATCTAGATGGTTTGCCTCAGTTGGCACGTCCAAAGACTCTGAATAGTAGCATTGCGCGAGGGTCAGATAGACATCGAGCGAACTCGTAATGGGAAACTTAGTTTCACTTTGATGGCTTTCAGCATCTTTACTTGTTGCGACAAGGGTCATGTTTCGAGCCCGTTCGGCCTCTTGCCAGACATTGGCACAATAGTCCTCTGCGAGACCATCATCTTTCAAGCCCTCTGTATATACATTTAATACGGCGAGGTGGTTTTGCAGGCGCGCGAATACTAGCGCTCTCTCATGAAGAAAATAGGTGGGGAGCCAGGATAGAAGCACCTCAGCTTCGTAGTGCTTCGAAGTCTTAAGGAATAGACGGAGCTGCAGTCTGTAAATGTTCGCTCTCTTGGCATCAGTGGCACCAACCTGCTTCAGGCTGTCAAGAAGAAGATACGCAAGCTCATTGTGCAGCAAGGGAGACTTTTCGCCAGCACAAACTAGTTGGCTGAGATAAACACAGGCAAGTGAAGCTCCAGAATCCAACGGGACTAGCTGAGCTTCGTATCCTTGGCACTCAAGGGACGTCCTCAAGGTTGCGTGCCAGAGGCTTGTGTCGAGTATCTGGTCACTTTGTTGCATGCGCTTAATCGATCCTAACTCTTTCATCCACGCAACAACATCTCGCGCAGTCATACCTTCGAAATAAAATGGATGGACGGATAGGTATTATAATCAGAATCAATACTTCAAAAAAAGTACGGCTGTTGTTTCTGATTCAAGGCGAAGGACGCTGCAAATTGACCTGCACCGCCATTTCTGATAGGTAGTGGCATGATTATATCGTCTTGATCATCTCTGACACTAATTTTAGCGCCAGTAAAAACTGCGAGACCAAGCGCTGGTGCAGTACTAAAGACGGGGGCGGCATGCTCTATTGCAAGACTTGCATTTCTAGGCTCACCCGAAAACCAGAGCCAGCGTAAATACCTTGCCTTCCAGCATCGAAATCGATCACGATCCCAGGCTTGAGAACCCTCATTATTCTCTGCGCAGCAGCGGTCTTCTACGAGGAGTGCTAGAGCCCTCTGGTGAGCCTGTTTGCTTCTGTAGAGCCAAAGCAGAGGTTCGGCGTATAAAGCCCCGCCAGCGGCTAAAAGGGGGGCAACATATTCGAGTTCGCACTGCTGGCTTGGATCTTGTAGCAAGAAGACAACATCCTCGACTCTCGGCGGTGAACACTGAAGCCACGCTGCGATAAGCATCGTATCCACGAGCACAAGCTGCGTATCCTGCACCTCACTAGCATCGCACTTGGAGGATCTATTGCCATCGCTATATTCTGTAACGCATGAGATGAGCCTTCTGCGTGCGACTGCGAAGAAACTTGCGATCGCAGCAGCCGCGCGACTCAAGCTTGCGCCACGAAGGATGGGTTTTAGTAACAACGCGTCGTACTTTTCCGGCATACTAGTACCGGATTGATCCGAAGTCTGAAGCGATGTTTTCTTTGACGCTAAAAGTAGGGATAGCTCAGGCGGGCAAATCGATGGGAAGAGCTCTGCCACGGCCTCTGGCGCAGCCTCTGCATTCAGCCAGTGCTGTGATGCACCTTCAAAGTCACCCCGGCTGTATAGGGCGTACGCGTACCGCTCTTCGATGATGAGTGCTTCGTGACGACAGTCTGTGCAAGATGCACACAAAGCAAGAGCGTCTTCATATCTAGCTGAATCTAGCAGAGCCTGGAGTTGACGGCCAACAGGCAACATCTGTAGCACAACCCCCTTCCTGTCCCCAAAGCAATAAAGATTCCCAAGGCAGGAGGGGGGTATTGACTTCCTTTTCCTATGCTTGTCGCAATCGCGCTGTCCCTCGTGAACTCCCAAACTCCCAGCGACAGTCCCAGCGAATTTCTGGAATTCTGAATCATCTGTGGCAGTCGAGACGTCTACGACCGACTTTGACTCAACATCATAAGACTCATCAAGAGCCCCCCCGCATAATGCAGTCGCAGTAAATCCATTGCCTAGTGAGATTGTCTGGATATGTGTCAGTGTTGCCACAAAATGTACCTGAAACACATTAGTAAGCTAGGTGAGATAACAAGACAATAACCTCTATGGTACTTTCAAGAAGAGCAAGTACAAATGCCGATGCAGTCTTCAAGACGATCGGTGCGCTTGACCAAGCGATGCGTTCTTCTGTTGGATTCGGCACGGACTTAAAAGGCAAAGTTAGGTACGCAGAAATAGCACGAAGGTTGAAGAGAATGCCTCTTGACTGTGATGACACGAGCAATCGTTCATCGTTCCGTGAAGACTGATTGCCAGATAAAATCAGAGAGGGCCCTGTGCCGCCGGGAGCATCTAACAGCTTTCGTATGAACAGATCTGGTGACGATCCGTCAGGCATTTCCTTGGGGTTGCTGACTCCAAGAGCACTAAAGACACCACGCTTCTTTTGAGCAATTGTCGCTTTGTTGGCATTACATTCATCTCCGAGGTCTATCATTAAAATATCAAAGGAGCGTTTATTTGCAATGATAACACACTTCTCGTTAACGAGACATGCCGAACTGGGCGTCTCAGGAAGCGTGTACTCTCGTTTGACATCCTTCAGGATGCCCCCTCGTTGCCAAACATAGACTTTAATTCTTTTCTTAAGGAAAAGTATCAGCGTCCGCGACGGTGCGTGCGCTGAGAAAAAAAGCACACCCCGAGCATCCCGCACATGGGCGGTCGCTCTTAGGGAGTTTGTATCGTATGCAACTACGATACCGTCCACGATCGCAAACAGTACTGCTTGTGCATCAAATGTTGCTAACTGTGATACACAGGAGCGATCCCGAGTTGGCGTCCTCATTAGTTCGATCATCGTTGCCTCATATCCCGATAAAGTTTCCTCGCGGCAGTAATATGCACTCAAAGCTCCATCACTCGTTCCTGTGAAAAAACGTCTTTTACCTCTGCCTTTTTGCACGTTAGACATAGCACAGCTTGAGACATGCCGTTCATAATAGTTTGCGATCGGAAGAGGTTCAAACACGGTCCAAGATAATTGCATCATGCAGACAGGCAGACGGTGCCCGCAATAAAAATTACCTTTACGGCGATACGGGGCCGCGGTAGATCCAGAGCCACTGCCCAGTAGCAGCGGTAGGCCCAGCAGCGGAAGGCCCAAGGCTGGCGGATGTCCTTTCCGGGGGTAAACACTGACTTCAGCGTGCGGCCCTCGCGTAGCTGGCACTGAGGCGGCAAGAAACCCATGCAGGTGCGTCGGCCTGGCCCCGTCCGTGTCCGTGAAACTCGAAGCGGCGTAATTTTGGAGGTGCTCCAGCCGTGGAGTGACATATCGAAACGTCAAGTACACTGTCAATCTGCTAGCTCAGGCTTGGGCTTAGCGAGATAGTTAACTCCGACACGGGGAGGCAGCCTAATGGGGCTGCCCTGCCGTGTGAGGGTGAACTATCGAGGTTACGCAGTGGCGGTACACCGGCGTCTCTGTTATCCTCACGTCACCTCAGCTGCCGTAGTATACGGGGGCCGGGGCTGCTGGAAACGTCGCTATGACGTCAGTCAGCCTACTATCCAGCAGGTGCACTGTCCGGCGACTGTGCTACCTCGCTGAGCCTGGTGCTCTCTGGCACGTCGCTGTGGCGCTAACTAGACAGACACCACAGACACAGAAGAGCGCTATGCTCTCTGTCCCTGCTTGGCAGTCACTCCTTCAGTTCGCTGTCTATAAGACTTGAAACTGGATTAGAAGAACTAAGGAAGGGAAGGGAAGCTAGCAGGATACGCAGTAGGAGCGCACTGGGGCAAGGTGCACTGCAACATCAAGATGCAGTTCACTGAAGATGAAAGTAGAAATCTCTCTATCTCTCTAGATAAGTGTACTGTGCCGCGTATCTTGAATCTTGGATATCTCCTTGCGCTGGAAAACGCTTCATGTTTTAGCATGGTCGCGAACCCTCAGCACGATGTGTTATCACAGCTTCGACCCGCATATGGCATGCGAGCCTCACCAACAAAAATGAAGGAACTTATCAAGGAAGTGTTGAAGGAATCATTGTCAGGCCAAACCTATCAGGTGAGTGTGATTTCGGTAACACATCGGAGTATAATGATAGGGAGACCAAGTCCAACAGCAGACCAAGCTTATTGCCGATACGGTCAAAGACAAATTGAAAGGTGAGCTGTTCGTTTTGTAACAATACGTATATCCTTCATTCAGCTCTCAGTCTTCCTCGATATAAATTCATGGTGCAAGTTGTCATTGGTGAACAACGGGGCGAGGGCGTACGGTGCGACCTCTCACCCAATCCCGACCCCTACGCAACACCCCCACCCAACAGCCCCCCCCCCCCGCCTCCCGATTTTAGAGTCATGGATTGCGCAGCATGGGATGTCGGACGTTTTGGGACCGTGACACAGATACGTATGCAAGTGAGACCTTCACAAATGACAGTATATTCTGTATTGTTGTAGCCTACGCCGTTTATCTTTGCTGAGCAAGTCGGACTGGGCGATCGCAGTTCGGTGAACGAAGACTAACAAGCCTGTGTCGCAGAGGTGATGCCGCCCGAAGAACGGCGCAAAAATAGCCAAGGGGGGCATGTCAAACGCCGCTTCAAGTTTGATGCGCGAATATCACCGGAAATACTGGCGGAAAATCAGCAAAACAGACACTGAGGTCACGTCGCTTTTCTGCCAGTCAGTGGTGCACTCGAAGTCCTGCAAGCCACTACCTTGAATCAAACAAGAACCTGGGTATAGAAAACTCAGCGGAGCTGCCTGTGGTGGTGCATGGTGCTGGGGTGCGCGGGGGGGGGGGGGGGGGCTCGTGTCTGTTGGGCATAAACGAAATGGTTCCACCCCGATCAACTCACATTATGCTACCCGCGAAAAGACATGGCTCAATATAAAGCCCTGGCTCAGGGGGAAGATTCTCCTGTATCTGCCCTACTGTCCTTATTTTCCCTTCTCTTCCTACCTTGCAGTCTCATATCCTCATGAGACTGAGCTCAGTCCCAAGGTCCCCATTTTAGTATGGGGGCCTAGAGAGATAGAGAGTTTTGTATCTCCCTAGTGGCTCGCTGGTACAGAGCCACCCAGTGTCCTCCCCCTCCTTAATACTTTCTAACCCTGTTATAGTTGCTTCCCGCACTGTAATAGACGGAGAGTCTTCCTGGACCTAGTGAGGCAGGTCCTCTGCCCGTTCGTCCAGTAGCCCCAAGCGAGTTAGTGAGTTTGGACCACTTATCATCATCCAGCTAACCAAGACTGCTGGCTGTGGTGGTCCTCTCCCAGCTCGCCGCTTCCCCGGGGACCGGGGTGGCGCGGCTTTTTTTTTTAGCCCGCCCACCACCCTCCTTCGGCACACTGGCAAATGAAGCACCCGCCCTACCCTACCCTCCTCCGTCCCTGCTGCGGTGGCTGTGCCATCCAAGCGCGGCCCGTCGGCCTTCATTCTGGCCCTTTAATTGAATTGAGCTCAGCCTCCCTTCGAGGGAGGAGTTTACCTTGCTTCCTTTAG